ACCTTCTGTGATCATGATGCTTCTTCTTGCTGTCATGAAATTGTTAAAGGGAACTGGTGGCATGAAAAGTGAAAAGCCCTATCTCAAAATCATTGTAAATCAGTGATAGATGAACTCACGTGAAAAATTGCCCATAAGCAAACAAACGGTAACAACTGCAGCGAGGTACACGGTACAGAGCAAATCCAATCGAATTGAAAGCCATCGGGCCGCTGCAATGTTCATATAAAACACGCTGGTGTGCGAATCCATGACCTGGTTGTAACGCTGCATATGAAGTGATTCCGTCTTGGTGGCCCGTATACATGGCAGACCTTGGATTGTTATATTGACCCACGAGAATACCGGACTACGTGCTATAAATACCAGAAACACAAGGCGATACCATTTTGTACGTGGTGACAGAAGATGTTCAACAAAGTGCCTGTTTGTTCCTGTCAAAAGCCCGATTAGCTGAGTGAAAATTACCAAACAGAGGAATAACCATTGTGTATACTAGATGGTTACTTTTGATTATCAATATTGTTGTTGCATTCGCCGAGTTGAGTGACTTGTTACGAACTGGGATTTTGCGGTTAGACACAGGTTAGTGGTTAGACGAGTGTTCATGTGAACTCACGAGCTCAGGTTCCAAGATTTTTTGTCGCCAACAACACGCCTTGGGATAGATTCGATAAAGAGATAACATTTTCTGACAAAAATGTTACGGGTGTAGAACCAAACGTGACTCAGCGAGAAAATATCAGGATAAAAAATATAAGTTTCTTTCACATTTGATCTAGGTTGCATAGGCTGAGTTTATCTGAATGGAATGTGCCTATAAAATTTAGGTGGCATGGATAAGTATCGTTTTTAATCAGAAACAATTCTCAAAAATAGGTTCAGAAATACAGCAGTCAAATTAATGGGACAATAACACAGAGGTTATGTAAATATAGCCCAGATGTACTTGTTACACTATAATGCACCCATGAAAGTGGAAGCCATGACTAGAGGCTTTAAACAGTTTACCGATAGCCAAGCACTTACCAACTGATTCGATTCGCTTTAGATCTCTCGAAGTACACAAATAGTACTGTCTTGTAATGTAGAACAGAACGAGAATGGGGATCGTTGGAATGATGATCCAATAGCTTTCAACAATCGTGACCACACCTATGCTGACGACCAAGAAGAAACACTGAAGGAAATCGTGGATTGTTGTGGGTAAATAGTCGTCCAGTTGTCCGATATCTTTCGCAAAACGGTTCAGAATGCGACCTATGAAGGTGTGAACAAGAAATATGGATTTTGGATTGCATCACTAATCAGAAAAATAACTTGGAAAAAGCAGCGAAAGTAATAATACAATCGATAGTTTATCTCTTCCAAACTTGTTGTATAGAATGGACATTGACAATGAGCACCCTTGGTATTCACTAAACATTGCTGCACTGCAAGCAACTCGATGTTACTCGCCAAAGGAAGTTGCCAAATGGCACTGCATGTAGTTAACCACTAATTAAAGTGCACATTCTGAAGTCTTGTCAATCACTCAGTCTGGGGGCCTTCAGCGTGACAACTCTGATGTAGGTAGATCAAAACGCCTTTTTTAGCGCGCGCAAAGTAATCCTTAAGGATCGATATTTGCTCCGTATCGCAGACTTGAATTCAGGATCCTACTACTATAAGCCACTTGAGTACGCCAGATTTGTCCTCAAAGTACGTACTTTGCACATCAGGCGGTGACGTAGGTCAGTAACAGAACTGAGTCCTCCCTTATCGATTTGATCCCCGTCAACAGCCGTTTTTTGTTCAACGCATCGCCAGAGGTTTATCAGCGTCCGATAAGGAAGTAACAATAAAGGGTATTTGTTCATCATTTCAGCGTATGCTTCGACCAACTGCAGTTCTAACGTGCAAAAAGACCAGTTTTATAATAAAATTATCAAAATCATTCGGCTGATCCGAGGCTCCGATATAGCTGTTCTCGCTAGTGGTTTTAACGCACAAGTTGGAAAACTGAGTACATCGGAAGCTTACCTAGGCGGTCATTGCTCTCTGACTTGCCAGCGAACAGATAATGGCGATCGACTTCTTCAGTTCTGCGCAGGTCATCATCTGTTCCTATCCAGTACCAACTTCCAACATGAATCTCGACGGACGGAAACGCGGCGCTCCAGTTCATCTGGCAAGATGACTGAAATGGGCCACATAGCAGTAAGCTATTATTGGCGTGGCTAAGTGCGAAATTCAGGTCTTATTGAACCACCTGCGATGACTCTGATTACGCATTAGTTTTGATGCAGTTCATTCTCCGACTGACTGGCCGGCGACAAAACCAGAACAGTTGATTACCTCATCATCGCCTGTCTGTTCCAGCAGTTTGTGCACACTATGAGTCAGAGCTAGAGCGTGACCTAGGCGCGCTCCAGCGTGATAGTGAAAATGAGCAGTGGAATCAGATTGGGTATGTAATGCATTCCACAGAATGTTGCTTCTGGCTGTGAGGGTCAAATCCGTCGAAGGCATTAGATTAATTATGAGTCAGTAGCGCTGATGGAGAAAAAGCGATAAATCACAGCCTGCCAGGTCCAAAATAGGGTTAGGCGGCATCTGCAGCGTCAGATCACGAAACAATAGTTAATGAAATCAGAGTAGCAGCTGCATCGGGGAACAGTTAGAGACTGTTCCAGTTAATACGATAAAAGAAAACAAGCTGTTCACAATGGGGATCAACGGCTTGATCGCTGGGAGGGATACTTCAACGAACAGTTCGGCTGGCCTGGCGCTGGGTAGATTACTTCATTTACAACTGAAGGTCCGTTGGCAGGGACGTGCGATCCTCCAGCAGAAGCAGAAGGTCAGTCGTGCATTTAAGCACTGAGTCGAGGAAAAACACGAAGACCGGAGTGGCTCCTTCCCATTCTTTTCAAGATGGGGAATGATAACCTCCTAAGATCTAGTACTATCGTATCGCACTACATATGGACGCCAGAGTGCATTCATTCATCTTGGAGTGGATCACTGAACGTTCCCATTTTCAAGAAAGGATATAGCTAGATTGCGAAAACCACCGAGGGATAAGTTTGATCCCAATAGTTAACAAATTGCAGCCTCCATCACCTTTCGGCATTTGACTCCTTTAAGAGAGACCAACATCCGTGAACAGCAGGCCAGATTCTGGCCTGCGAGTGGATGCACTGACCACTTTTTTACTTTGCATCAAGTTCTTGAACTGCGTTAAACCCACTGTCGACCAACGATTGCAGTGTTCCCTGACCTGAAAGGATCTTTCGACTCAGTTGATCGCGAATATCTGTTAGGTTCCCTTCTTCGAAAAGGAATGCCTCAAAATAAATTTCACTTACTGGGGTTACTGTTCTTGCATACCTCTGGTCGAGTGAGTGGTTACAACGAACTACCATCACAAGGAGACTGCACCTTGAAGTGGTGTGAAGGCTTTCGTGCCTCCATGACCCAACGAGCTACACAGAATTGCCTTTACACAGCCGTAGATCCAATCATGCCTGAAAGATCAACGGGTAGAGGTCAAAAAAAGCTCAGTCTCACAAAGCCAGCTGCTTAAGCACCTGGCTTCCTCCTTCTATCCACAACCACCCTTCGAGAGTTCACTGCAGCAAATAAACACCGCGAGGGGCAGTTTAGCAGTAAAAAAAATCCACTAGACAGACGTAGGACCGGGGTATCTGGGGCTTCCTCTCGACGCTGGGAGAAGTCTTCGCACTTCATTGGACAGCTACTGCCCGCCCTAGCTGGGCAGCCCCAAGTCAATAAGGTGCTGTCCCGTCCACGTTCCGCTTGTCTCATTGGGTGCATGAGGCTAAGGGCCGATCCCGAAAAGCGGACCGACAATCAACGCACCAGCGAACAACACATTTAACCGAAACCCGANCCGACGGCCTTGTGTGACAGGTCTCAAGAAGATCCCACACAGGTGCTCCGTTCACGCTCCCGCGTTGGATCTACGCCCCACTGCCTTATGGGTCAGACTTTTGAGTCCAAGGTTCCGGTTAGGGTTCCCAAAGAAAACCCCTTCAAAGGCACAGCTTTTGAAATGGATATACTGATTGTTCCACGATGACCATCCACAGAAAGTCATCGTGCAACAATCAGTATATCCAGTTCAAAAGCTTTGTGCCTTTGGAACGGAAAGAAACCAAAAAAACCCTTCGTCGGTTTGGGCTGCCGCGAAGTATGCCGTGCCGTAAAGTCTTGGGCACCCATTTGCAAAACCATTTTTCCCATCTATCTAGTTTTCCTTCTCAGTTCCAAATAATCCCAGGTGTCTCCTGTTTACTAGACCCATCGAGTATCACTTGGCGTTCAACAACTCAAAGGCTATCAGATTTTTGAAACCAAAATCCCTTTTTCACTTAGCTGCATTCAATTTTCGCACACTACCAGATCGGTCAACAAGCTGCCTTAGCTAGAACCCTTGCAACCTTAAATTTAAATGTATGCTGTGTCTCCGAAACACGCGTACAATACCAGAATTCAATTATCTCCCTCTGTTCTCCAAATCCAGCCTCATCTTCATCCTTTACTCTCCGTGTGTCAGGTGATTAGGCACCCGAAGCTCGTGTTGTTGCTGGTGATGGGATTGCGCTGTTTCAAGACCGAACGTTCACTTTTCGACTGGATCCCGGTTAGCAGCCGACTTTACGCTGTACGTCTGGATGGTTCAGCACGGATCAAAAGCTGCAGAACGAAGCGTCGGTGTTTGTTCGTCGTATCCGCATACGCAGCAACTAATTGCATTATGTCAGAAGTGAAGGGTGAATTCTAAAAGGACCTCTCTCAAATGCTCCAAAGTGCTCGGTCAACGGACATCTTGGTAATCGCGGGGACTTCAAAGGTTCTTTGAGCATTTCGATCCAATTTCGAAGAGTGAAGGATTGTAACAATTTTCATACTATTCCATTGTTCTTTCTATCGTATTAGGTGACAACAGTCGGATGATGTAGTGGGAGATGTTCGTACGTTGCTTTTTTGAGAAAAAAAACCAGAGCGCAATGTGGTCTAAAATTTGCAATCAGTCTACGCCATTCACTAATATGAAATATAGCCTTAAGTGTCTGTCTTGTTGATATTTCTCTCAATCATCACTTTTTACGACAACGGTCATCGTGAATTTCACTAGGATCGTATTAACCAAGACTGCTAGTTCTACAATTCCTGTGACGCATTCGTAAACATTGAGTTCACCTGTTTGATGAACGAAAGATGAATTACTGTTGGAAAGGCAGACCGAGGAGTATAAATGGTTTTTCCCCAACAAGCGTAAACAGCGCCTCTCCCTTTTCGATAGAGAGACGGAGACGGAAGTGTCACGAGTAGCTGTTAACTGGTCAGACTCACCGGATGGATTAATTTCAAAGAAGGTCAACCGAGTTTGCATGCAAGCGTTCAGCATGCCTTTGTGAAGACGTTTTGCGGCATTGATGAGAATCTGTTGGATGATAAAGAAAGTCGGTCCGAGAATACAATCACAAAACAATCAATCTGACATTTAGTAAATGAGAGAATAAGTCGGTAAACATTTTTTATTTCATTTGCAGGAAATTTCTAAACGTTTAATGAGCACTGATAATGACTGTCCAAATTTTGTATGCCTTAAATACACAACACAGCTCAAGTGGTTTGGCTACACAGTTTGTGTTTCAAAATAACAAAATAATTTGAGCATAACAAAAACATACCCCAAAAAACACAAGGGACCGAACTGAGCTGATAATCACCAGAGAGACAGTCAAACAACAATAGATCAACAATGCGACGCGATTATCCCGAATATCCCAAATCGGGAATGTGTCAGTGTTCATGGTAATGTTTTGATTATCGGAATCGGTCGCGTTCCTCATGGCTCTCTCGTCAACAAACTCCGCCCTAAAAAGATGAAGGACCGAGAAAGAACCGGTTAAACGAATGGAAAGAATGAACGGCTCAAAAGAAGTTGTACGTATGACAAATAAACACATAAGAGTGCTAATTTATCGAAAAGCTAAAAACCTATATTTATTATAGGTAATCGATTTTCCTCCAGTAACAACTTGTAGGTAGAATTAGAACCTTGAGTGAGGGAGTGATACATGCTGAGACCAAATTGTGAGGTATTGATGAGTGTATTTAGGCATACGTGTGCTTAGCCCGTTTGATGCTGCCGGGGGCTGGAGTCATGTCGCGTTGGTTGTGTGGTTCGCCCCATCTGGAGTGATCAGTGTTACTGAATAGATATGGATTAGAGTGAAGTGAGGAAGAAAAAGGACTTGTCTGGATATCATAAGGAGCTTGAAGAGAACACATACAAGTGCCCACTTCGGAATGAAATGTCTGAAATAAATAGTTTAGTTATGTATTATTATGCAATTCTACTATGTTACATGTTATTCTAAAAGAATTGAGGAACAATTCTTGATTCCAAGCTCCGCGGTTTCAGAAATAAACACCGGCTAATCCTGATAATAAACTGCAAAACGCAATGCATGCTTTTGCTAAATAATAGCAAACTGTGAATACTTTCTTGGTATGATATCCTAATGCACCGAGTGTGTGCGTTGAAGGGGGGGAGGTCTATGGGAGATCGGGCAACTGGGCAATACAACTCACAACGTCCACTCCATTCGGTAATGTGTTGAAACAAGGAGTCGGTAGGAATTCAGCGTTTTCCTCAAGAATATCCATGTCACAATGAAGTTCACCGCACTGATAAACAAATGTCAACTGTTGAAGCTTAACCCAGCTAAACATTTAGATGGGTTTTACTCAATGAGATATTTTTGAATTCGATCATACATTCAAGTTTTGAGGATCTCAGCACTAATTTGAACATCATCAGGTTGGATTGATGTGGCATGATGCTGAGTTAGGTAGGTATGGAACGTATCGGATGTAGATTATTTAATTTTCAACTCGCAGCATGGAGCTCTAAGCAATTTCCAACGATAGTTTGCAAGAAACTAATTGAGTGAGTACAACATTTATCATAAATCCAAGAATTTTGTAGCGCTGTAGCGATAGCGATTCTGGGTAGATAGATCGGGAAAGTTGTCTTTTCTTCTGAGTTGGCGGCACCTTCAACTTTTTGATCAGGATCTCGACGATCTGTCAGCATCGTTTTCAATCAAGTCATTCAGCCACACCATTTTCAGGTTGGCGCCGCAGCTTAGATGATAAGCCTAAAAATTGGGCTAACATGGTCAAGGAGGATGTAGGGTAACTAGACCTATAAAATAACTGGTCTGTGGAAGCGAAACATCAAAGAAACTAGAATATCCTCAAGCAGCAGCTATTTGTATAAAATTACAAGTAGCAAAATCTAGATTATAATTTGCACAAAAATAAAGTGTTATCTGACGAATATTTGATGCCGTTTGGATTCCGAGGGAATAAAAGTCACATGGTTGTATCACTGATCTAACCAGGTTTTTTTCGTTCTCTGACAAACTCTCCCTCTCCAAGAGCTAAATTCTCAGTGCAGTAAATCTATCTGACCGGTCCCAACTATATTCGACGTACTGGAGATTCGCTGTATTTCATATAGATCATACAAGAATATCTGCTTTGAAGAATGCACCAAACAATCAGGGTTTTGGTTGTCAACGGTGTAGCCGATAGCCCAGTGTGCTTCAAGTCACGAGAACCGAGCAGTACACATTTCTGACAGGCCAAGGAAGAATAAAAAAGCTGTTCAGCGCTGTTTGTCGGTTGCCAGGGCAAAATACATATATATCGAAATTAAAATAAATCAGAAGGGAACGAAGTTCTAAGGAGGGAAAACAACGTTCGAACAAAATTATGCTTGTGAATTTCAATCAACTGAACGAGAGCGTATCAAGTTCAATCTGTACTGTACAACTCTAATCTTCAGAGGTCCATTTGTTTTGTCTAATATGCGCAGTAGTTCTTTCAAGCTGTAACACTTTAGCAGAAATTCTCTTTATTTATTACTTCAAATTCGCATTTTAGATCTGGTCCACAAGCGTAATTTACAATTCATGTGATCCTGCTTTCTATCAAACTAGTCAGCTGAAGATCAAAACGAAGCCGGATGAAGATAGTTTGAAAGAATGTTCTAAATAACATAAGCTCCTACTACTATAGAATGCCAATATATTTCCCCCGTGAACTGTACCATTTCGCGATCCACAAATCACAACCGGCATGGTTAGTTATCGTGACCGCAAACAGGAGCATGGCAAATAGGAATCCACAAATTCCTCCACCGATTCTTCCTAAAATCAGGTAGTGTTTCCATTTCACTTGTCCATGTTGCCATTCCTCGGCAATTGCTGTGTCCTCTTCTTCCTCCTCCGCTTCCACCAACTTCTCCTCGCGTGAAAAATCCTTTTTCTGATGACTAAATATTTCCAGTGTACCCAATTCCTTATCTCTCTTCACGTCTTGAATTGCCCTTAGCCGATTTCGTTTCTCGTCCTCCTCATCCGTGTAATCCACGACCACTTTCATCGTCCCCTCGTCCAAACCCATCATACTTCCCGGAGCCAGTGCGTTCTCCATACTAAATGCCAAACGTGAAGTGATGGAACTTCTTGGGGTCAGCGTCCGAACACTGGGCACTGAATCCTGATCCGCTAAGCGTCTTCTTGCCTAAAATGGTCATGTATGAAATAACAGACATACTAAGTACGAGGAGTACATCTGAAACGCACTAAATTTCGGAAAGATTGAGTTACCTACACAAATAATGTGAGCTATTTGGATAGTTGTAGATTAGGAAAGTTTAATGAAAAACCAGAAAGATTGAAATAGTCTTTTGGTGATTCATCGTCACACGGGATCAATTTACGCAAATCGAGATAAGTCCGAAAAGAGGTTTCAAAATGAACCGATTGCATTCCGTATGACGCCGGGCTCACTGCTAATTTTTATAAAAAAACGTGGGTAAATATGTATCAGTTTACACAATATAATGCATTCTTAAACTTTTGTCATCAGATTGTCCTATATGTCGGCTACCCATCGGGGTGACCAGTCAAGATAAAAGTAAGGAATCATATCTTAATGGGGTTGTAATATCAGGAAGATAGGATATGTGCAAAAAGATAATAGATGTACATGCGCAACAGTTTACAGTGGTAAGGCATATCAAAAAAATTTGAGCGAGTTACGGAAACGATTAAATTATGCTTTCATAGAGACCAGTGTATATCAGTGAATATACATCGTTATTTAAAAAATACGTACGCGAAGGGCGTAATACCTCAGCCATGACTACGGTGTGATTTGTTCCAGGTGAAAACAGTGAGCTGATTAGGATAGATAAGCATCCGGATAATTGAATTACTATTCAACACACGTTGACTATTTTATTGGTAGGACAAAATGAATGCTCCCATAAAGGAGATGAAAAAATCAAGGATGATATCCTTCGCTTTTTAACCGAAGATACAAACTTGGCCAATAGTCGAAAAAAAAACATGGAAGCTCGTTGCGTAATGTTTTATTGGCAGGGTAAACGGTACGCTTTTAGCTTAGTTTTTACAAACATTGGTCATGTGATTTCGTGCGGGGTTTTGATTGCTATCTTTTGGTTGCCCATTTGGATAGAGAAGGAAGTTTTAAATGTTGAAAGCAATTTCAAGGTGATATTGGGGATTCCGGCAAAAACTGATTGCTGAGAGATCGATTAAATGCTCAAACACCACCGTTTCTGACACTTAAACATATCACTCTGTCTCCAACCGTCGGTTACGCTGATCCTTAGGTCTCAATCCAAGGGGCGAATGCGAGTTGTATGACCCAGTTTCCTGGCGAAGGAGAGTTGGGAAAAGTCAAGGGCCAGCACGAGAGTATGAAACCCTGACCAGAAGATTAGTTCATACAGATGGCTACCTGAATGGGGACTTCGGCATCATTGTAACAAGATGGTAGAAATAATGAGTGATGTGGCTGAGTGTCACACAAAGTGGTGATCGTGCATCTAATCACAAGTTTGCAATCTTAGTCTTCAATATCTCCCTCCATCTTCTCTTTGACTCTGCTCTCAATATTCCAATCATTCTTCTTGATTACCCAGAACACTATTCTAAATGCAGTTGCCAAAACCACCGAAAGAAAGATTTATGGTTAATGTTTGATTAAAGTGAACTGATTTGAGTGGGAAAATGTCACCGTCATCATCATGGCACAGCGAAATACCATGAAGCGAATTTCACTGACCGCTGCCAAACTCACAAGGCATACAAGGTTAGTGGTAAAATTTAAGGTGGACATGGGTTGGATCTATTTTGAGGAAGGGCGAAGAAGATGAGCCACTATGGTCAACACAGAGTACGCAATCGAACTATGCATACATACCGTTTCAAGCATTCTGACCTGATAAGAAACAACAACAAGAACGCCACTGCTGCCGATCCGCTGCCATATTCTTCAGTGTCTCCAACCAACCAGTTGTAGAGTCTTTCGGACCCCAACCTGGAAGGCGAGAGACACCTACTCTATCTAATGGCTCTGTGCATTTCTTCATGCCTCGCCTCCACGTCATCTATTGACCTCTACGTGGTTTCCTCTAGCCCGGAGTAGCTACAGCGAATAAAGTGCGGTGCGGCAGACGATGGCTGGGCATACGCAATATGTGCCCTAGCCAGCTAAGCCTAGTAATCTGAATTGGGTATGCTAGCAGGTTTATGCCTGACAGACTCCCAAACACATGACGGCTT